CGCATTATTTGAATTAAATATTGGCTATATGAATGATGGAGGAAAGTTTATCGAATTTATTGAAAGTTTATATACACCCTATTATATTTTATAGGGTGTTTGAAAGAAAAAAAACTCAATTAAAGTTATAAGAGGTAAATTTTTAAACTGTGGGAATACTACAAGTAAATGTAGCATCTCAATTAACTTACCAATAAAAATTTTCTTTATAAAATTTATTAATGCCATTTTTTACTATTTTATTGTTAGTAAACCATGTTTATCAAAGAATGTTTATTTTATTGGATAATTTGATTTAATGGATCAATGTTATGTGAAATTATATTATATTAAATTGATAAAGTATTTATACAAGCTTAAATAAAAAATTTATTTGATAAAGCCATGCATGGAATTTGTTAATGAAATTATGAAATGTTAGTTATGAAAATTTCCATGCAGGTTTGAAAGTTGATTTTAAAATAGGACTATATGCAAAACATTAGTTGCTAACAGCAATTTCTATTAGCTCGTAGCGCTATAGTTAATAATTAGCTAGTTTGATTCTCATGAGCTCTGTTCTCATGTTTTTATTTCATGGGTCATGTTCCTATACTTGTTTTTCATGGCTCCAAGCTATATTTGGCTAGCACTATTCTCGTGAATTGTGTGTCAATATTTGTTTTCATGATTCATACCTATGTTTGATTAATTATACTCATGACTTGTGTGTCCACATTTATTTTTATGGTATAAGCTATATTTGGTTGTTTATCATTGTAGACTATATGTCCACTTTTGTTATTTGTTTTGTTAAGTCCTCAAAATTCTACATTTTCTAATTAACTTGTGTATTTAAAATTTCAATGATTACAATTAGTAAGTGTACTACTTTTATTCATATATAAATATTATGTTTTCCTCAAGTATAATAGAATCAAGTAATTTTAGTTCACTCACATTTTATGGTTATGATTAAGATTTCTAGATTTAATGAGTTTATTATATTTAATTATCCTCTTTTCAATTAGTTTACATAATTGTTTGATTTTTTTTATTTTTACTCTTTTAATTATATTTTTGGAAATGCTATTCACTAAAAAGTTATTTTTTGTCTTTGATTCATTAGTTGATGTTGAACCTCTTGCTGATCATTGAGAGACTCATAATTGTATTGGGTGGATATTTATTTTGAAACCACCTTTCCTTTTGATGCTAATTCTGAAGTCTATGCATTATGTTTTTGGGAAACACAGTTTAAGGTACTTCGTAATAACCATAGTTAGGGTTCTAACCTTTTATTATGTTGCCTGTTTGTTGCTAGGAAGTAGAGCTCAGTATCTAGATTGTTGTTTTGTACAAATTTCCATTATATAGATTTCAAGATGTCTTATTTATAGAGGAGGTGCTGCCAAAATTTTTACAAAAAACTTGATATATTGATTTATGTGAAAAGTAAAATTAAATAGGACATATGTATGTATGTATGTATGTATGTATGTATGTATGTATGTGTCATATTTAATTTGAAATATGCATATAAGATCTTTGTGTCCTTTTTTCTATATTTTGACCATTAATTAATAAAATTCATGCTGAATTAGTTAGGACTTTTTTAATTGGTCTTGGTATCTTTTATATAAACCCTATTACCAGCAATATAGTAGTGGCACCACCCAAGAACATCCATTTTCCCATAATGAGAATCTAATTAATCAATCCAATCGACTAACAATATATATGAACAATTCTCCCACTATTTTATGTAGAAAATAATTGTTTAACTTTAGGTTAATAATACCTCAAAATAATCTTCCAAAGCTCAAAAAGTGACCTAATTTTAAAATAAAATGAATTTTGCAAAAATTTCAGACAAGTAAACAAAATATAAAATCAATAATTACATGATAAATTCGGTCTAAAATAAAAATAAATTTTGGCAATACATCTGCTGGACCTAATTTTACAAATCCGAAAAACATTGTTTTATTGTGTATAAATATTTTTTATTGAAAACAATTTTGTTAGCTGAAATAGACCATTACCTTAAAGTGAAGCCCAAATGAACAAATTTCATATTTAAACATACGTTTGCCCACTATTGGCAAGCCCAGTTCTTCACCATTTCAATTCTCCTTCTCTTTTTTATGTTTTTCAAATTGCAGAATTAGAGGGCCGATACAATATTCAACTTGGGAAACATCAAATGGAAACTGGAATTAATTCAGTGGCCCGTTATTAACTATTTTTTCGTACAAGGTCCATTATCAACTTAATTACCATATTTAATGCTGCAATTCAAACCCAGCCCATCCGTCTATCAAAATGAAAGCAAATTTTAATTAAGTTATAATATTTAAAAAATTGATTAAATAATTAAATCTAAAAGTAAATATCTTATACTATATTATTCTTGTAACAATAAAAAAATTTTATTTCATGAAAATAAACTTTAATTTTATGAGAAGTAATTTGAGAAAAATGTAATAAATACTTTTAAATTTTTTAGTTTTACTTATAAAAAATAATAAAACATATAATAGTTTTTCTTATAATAAGAAAGGAAGGAAGTACAAAATCTGAAAAACCAAAAGACGAGTTTTATAAAATAAAAAAGGTATGAGTTTCCTTCCTCTCTTCATTTTCATCCATTATTTTCGTGTGTGCTTGGATAGCACTTTTGATCTACTTTTGGTTATTATCATGCAGATATTGAAAGTTAATTTGAAGAACCTTGAAAGCACATTCATTTTTGCATTTGAAATGTGAGAGTTGCGGCATTAATGAGAGAATTAAAAATTTTAACTACCTTTTTTTCTTGTTGCCCTTGCTGAGCGCCCCATCCTCAATTATAAAACAACTTTAAAAATATTTTATTATTTCAAAATAGGAGATAATTTGATAAATATAAGGTTTATTAATGATATTTTTTTTATATTGCCCTTTGAGTGAAAAAGAGAATTGAAATGATTATAGATTTAAAGTTATATTAAATGAAGGATATTCATGTTAAATTTTTATTAAAATATAATCGAATCTCACCCCAATAAAGTAATTACCTACTTTCAAACTAACCATATCTTTTCATATTTATCATTTATTAAACACTTTATAATAAATATAAATTTATTATCAATAGAGATACTTTTAAAAAAAATAATAATTACACCTCGAAAGACTAAATAGCTTACATTTTTTAACATCCAATTCCTCAAAACTCTTTACATTTTTTAATAGAGGGAGTAATTTTTGTTCTAACATATCAAATTTTATATTATTTACAGTATATTTTTTAGTATATATACTCAATATATAAAATGTTATATTATTTATGCATTTTTATTATATATTTTTTTGAACAAATACATTCTTTTATTACACTCCCTCTATTTAAAATATAAGCCTTTTTTTTTTTTTGAGGAGTTGTATGTTTAAAAATATATAGCATTTTTAATCTTTGGAGGTGTAATTATTGCCTTTTTTTCAAAATACCTCTATTGATAGATGATTTTATATTTATTATAAGGTGTTTAATAAGGGTAAATATGAAAAGATATGATTAATTTGAAAGTAGGTAACTACTTTATTGAGAGATAAAATTCAATTAAAAATGTCTTATATTTTTGAATGAGGGGAGTATAAATTATTCATCACATTAAATTTTATATGATTTATATTTTTTTCAAACAATTCAAATTTTACATAATAAAAATGAAAATTAAATATCATAAAATCCTAGGAAAACTCCTATGTGTCATAAAAAAATTCACGTTCTTTTTCATAATTATATGCATATTTAAAAATACTGTTCATTGTATATCCTTGCTGTCCCAAATTATAAGATATTATTGAAAAAATTAAGTATCCCAAATTATAAAATACTTTAATAAAAATAAGTTTTATTAATAATATTTTTCCAACATTATTCTTCCCATTATATTATCTCTCTTTGATTTTTTGTATAAATGGAGTATTAAATGAATGACATTTTTTAAAGTTTATATTTTTATTTTAAAAAAATAAAGATGTAAAATACTCTCTCCATTAAAAAATATAAGATATTTTTAACCGAATCTGACCCCCAATAAAATAGTTATTTGTCTTCAAAATAACTATATCTTTTCATATTTACCCCTATTTAATACAGCGTTTCATTCTAAAATAAATATAAAATAATTTATTCAATAGGAATACTTTTACAAAATAGACCACAATTATACCTTAAAAGACTGAAAATATTTTATATTTTTTAATATTTAATCCCTCGAAAAATACATTGTATTTTGAACGAAAGGAGTATATTTAATGAGTTTTATATAAGTGATTTTTTTAAAAAAAATTATCTCATAACTTCCACTATAATAAATAGTTTTTATTAAATTAATTTTTGACAAATGGAAACTTTTGACAAATGAACTTTTACGAGACTAACAATTAAACGGGTTACTATACTAACCATGAGTATGTGTATTCAAATGGCTATTGACAACAAACTGAGAGAAAGGGAAGAATATAACATAAATGAGGAAGATACAAAAGACGAAGCAAAAGCACAAATCTAATGGGGAAGGGGAAGAACACAAGGAAGAAGGAAATTACACAAATCTTCCACACTTCCCTTACAAAGACTTTCTCCATTAATGTTGCTGAGATTTCCTTCCCACTGGGATTAACAAATATAAATGTTGAGGAATGAATACATTTTGCTGAGATTTCTTTCCCATTGGGTTACTAGAAACAGCATTATGCAGAGAGTAGAGTCACCATGATTATTGAATGATGCAAACCTATACAAACCATCTGAATGGAATTGCCAAGGAACCATATGAGAGCTTTTGAAATGGACTTCTCAAATCTTGCTATTAAAAAAAAAAAATCCTGCAGAAGGAAAGCCGTGGGTAGTGCATATTTTTGTGCAGCAGGGTCTTGTTTGTTTGACTTTGATTTTAAAAAGAATACATATGATGACGTGGCACAACTCTCTGTGCTCACTCAATCAAATGGCTAAACGTCATCGCCTGCACGCTCACTTCAGGGAAGCTTGATACAGGCGATCCGGATTCTCAAAAGTCAAAACCCTCCTCAGCCCTGAAGATGAAACGAATTTCTCTTCCATTGATCTTCTCGATTACCGCCATTTCCGGCTAATGTTGTTCGATTTTGCTCATATCATCACATTCAACCTCATACTAACTAGTTAAACTGCCGAGTCGACTAATTCATGGGAGTAAAAGGATACTGTGAAGTGGGTCGGTCTCTGATTGGAAAATGGAGGACTTGGTCTCGCTATCCGGTATCTTTGTGGGTTCGGAGCTTACGATCAAATGCGGCACTGGAAGCCATTGCTAAAGCTTCGGAAGAGAAAGTTCCCAATGTTGTGCTTTACAATTACCCCTCTTTTTCTGGAGCATACTCGGCTCTTTTTGCTCACCTCTTCCACTCTCATCATAATATCCCATGCCTTATTTTGCCTTTCTCTTCTGTTGAGCCTCTCAGGTTTAGCTCTTATCTTATCTTTTTATTCTCTTTCATGTTTTTTCCTCCCTCCTTTTGTTTTCAGCTATCATACACTTCTATTTTTGACAATGGGGTTTTTTTATTTTTCTTTCTTTCTTATAATGCTTTATGCCCTTTTCTCCTTGTTTATGAAATGAAGTGTAAGAATAAAATAGGGGGCGTGCATGACTTTCTTAATTTATAGTATAACGGGATACCATGTCATGCTTTCCTAGTTGTAGTGAACGGATTAGTTTTGAATGCAGTGCCCTGCGCCCATCGTCCAAGTTAAGCTATCTATCTAGCTCTGTTAAGAAAGTATTTTTATTTGAAATTGTATGTAATTCAGTGATTGAATTTATTTCTTGTTTAAAATTCCCTAGAATGAAATAGGAACTTGAAATATTTTTGTCTGGGATGTTCTGTTAATGAAGTTACAAATGCATGTCAGAGTTGAAGATTTAACCAGTGAAGGCCTTGAGACATGTTATCTGCTTGACTTTCTCTGTCCGAAAGAGTTTCTTTTGAAACTTTCACAGCAATCAGAATGCAAGTAAGACGACATTGAATTCCTGCTATAATTATAGGAATCCTTTCTGACCACCTCTATGTTGATGCTTCTTCCTTTCATCTCTTAATTGTTATAAATTGCATATTTATTTAATCATCTCAACTCATTCAGGGTAATTGGGTTTGATCACCGGAAATCAGCAATTTCATGTATTCCCGATGCCAATGATTGCCCTGAGAATCTCACTATTCATGCAAGCCTTGAGAAGAGTAGCTCTAGTGCTGTTTACGAATACTTCTCCACCAAACATGCAGATATTGGAAATCCTGATGTAAGTAGGAATTAGAGTTCTTCAAGATGCTTTAGTTCTCGAGCATCTTACATAACGATTGCTGAGGTAGAAGGATGTTTGAATATCATTAAGGGTGTGGTTCCAAGTTTGCTGGACTCAAAAGCAAAAGTTCGTGTGGAACTTGTTCTTAAATATATTGAGGATGGAGATCTTCATCGATGGAGCTTGCCTAGCATAAGGGCCTTTAACATTGGACTGGGTGAATGGCGCTCAAAATTCAATTGCCTTGCTAATCCATACATGTATGAGCAGGTTTGATCATTTATGGATCTCATATTACTGATTAGAAATTGTGAGTTGGTTTTCAATATGAATTCAGTTCATAGAGAATTAGGTACAATGAATAGATTCCTTAGTTAAAAATGTGTCTCACAAACAATTGGAATTATAGTTGTTTGACATACAATGTCAAGAGGCTACATGTTTCATTTTCACTACATAAGTATTTCAAGTTCTCTCAGACTGTAGCACAATTGGCCTGGCTGTGTATTATTTTAGAAATATACTTTCATCGCTTTTCTTACTCAAAATATTTCCAATTTCCCACCTCAGATCATGTCATTGCTGAACAGTTCTCTTTCAAAAAATCTTTGTCACAGTTGCTGGAGTTAAGTGCTGATGATTTAATTGCTAAGGGAAACTCATATCTTTCATCCCAACAGAATGCTGCGAGCAAATTGCTGGGAAAAGTCTTCAGGGTTCGGCTGGGTAGAGGATTTTATGGAGAGTGTCTGGTAATATTCTAAGAGTTAATCATCATTATATTGATAGTTCTCAATTACCATTTCTAATTAATTCATCAATCCTATTATAGCTAAACCTAACTTTATGTAACTGGTATTTAAATTTTTGCCTTGATTTCTATGTGGATTTTTTTTAGTACATAAAAGCTTCTTTCACCATTGAAATTTATTACTGTGGCATCATCATGTGACAGCAACATGGTGCTCCCACGCCTAACATTAAGATTTAAGTTTGTAATCAAATTTTGATGCCTTCTTTGTTGCTCTAGGGAGTTAGGGCAGATGGGAACTCGAATTTAAGTGATGAAATTGGCAAACTACTGAGTGCAAAGAGCGCTGCTGCTGGTCTAAGGTAATTTATTTGCAAAAATGTCCTTCTGCTTTTGTTTGTCTTAATATTTTTAATTCATCAAGAAAATAATTCTTCATTAGTTTGTTGACAGCAAGGAAATGTTCAATCCAGAGCTTACAGTCTAACTTGGCGAACTTGAAAATTTATGACCATAAAATGGGGAAAAATTATAGACAATAGGAAATGAAAGCTAGAAAAAACAAAGGCCACAGTGAGCAAGGACTGATACGTAAATGTAGGTCGGTAAATGAATTGTGGTCCAAGAATTCCATTTGTCATTGGTGCAACATTCCATTTATATATATGCCTTTAAAGTTTGGATTGTTTGGGTTAAGGACCCGCTGGACCCAATATTTATCCTCAGATATCTGTTAACAGCAGGCGTGTTTTACCTATCCTGAACTAAATTAAACACACTCGTGGGTAATTGGCTCTTGAAGATAAATGTTACCTACATTTTGCACCTATGACTAGTTTTTCCTCAATCAATTTTTTTCTGGAACAAAATTGCATACTCTTCTCATTTACTTCTTTCCACTCCGGCAGTTTTAAATGAAGATACAAAATTAAAGAATAAACAATTACATGATGACAACTTCATGAGTTACTGAGAACTGTCTTTCTCTCATCTTGTGACATTGATCTTGGTTTGGTATGGCAATCAGGGATGCAAGTTTTTGGCATGGATTATCTGCCAGCATGTTAATTGTGTCAATATGAGATTTCATAAGCATCCATGTAAAGAGATATTGTTAGAATTCTGAATTAGGGATGAGGGGATTCATAATTTGCTTGGACTCAGAAAATTTTAACAAGATCCTTGGCTGTTTCTATAATTTTGTTGATTCTTTCTCTGATTTTAAGCATTTGACTATGCATGCCTTTGTCCAAGCATTCTTATTTAACTCATATTATTGGGTAAACAGTGAAGAATCTAAACCATGTCTCTGAACAAGTCCTTCCAACCCGATTGTCTTGCTGCTTCATTGCAAATTATAACTTTTATTTTGCATTAAAAAAATTATTGATATGTATGATATGATGGATTGGATATTTATATCTGTGGCAGGCCTGTGGGAGCTGTGATATTCATGCAAAGGAACAATCTTAAAATGTGCCTGAGAAGCACTGATAATGCCACAGATACCTCTGAAATTGCAAAAGTGCGTTGCAATACTTTTCTTACACTGTGATTTTCCAACATTTTAATATATATTGAGTTTTGTCAATTTGGAATTGAAGGCATATGGTGGAGGAGGTTCCCCAAGTTCAAGCTCCTTCATAATAAGGATGGATGAGTATAATCAATGGATTCGATGAATTCATTATCATTTAGGTACATATCTAATGTTAAATTTTATGGCAAAATGCCTATGGAGATTGAATGAAAAGCGTTATTGCATACAAGTCCAGTTGGCTGCTAAAAATGTATGAGAGGCTCCATTTGAATTATTCTTCACACTGGCTGTTTTGTGAAGCAGTGGTGATTATTTAATTCCTTGGTGTGCCCTGTTTCCGTCAGGTTTGCTCTGGATATTTCCAGCTCTTGTCCAACGGTGCAAACTGAACAATTTAACTAACTTCTTCACAGCCTTCGAAACTCAAGAGTGACCATGAACATGCCTTGTCTACTTTATATCACATTCTATATTCTTTACAAACTATTATAGAAACTAATACTTGCCTTATATCCTCCTTCTTGCTTCTTCTCTATTTGAAGAAATGGGTTCCTTTGCAAAAAGTAGTAACAGTCTAATGAAATTTCACCCCTCAGTGGAATCATTTTCACGTGTTTAAATTCCATCTTGTTGCTGGCTGAATCTGAAGCTTTCTGTTAGATGTCTGGTGTTAATTGTAATTACTTTGTATTACTTATTCCTACTTGGTTATGATTTGCAAGCACCATTCTCAACAAATGTAGGCCTACAACAATTGCATGATCAATACAGCTAATCATCTGTATTATAGTATTAAAAATGAGTCAACCCAGCAAGTTGAACTAGTAAACTATCAAACTAGTGTTTTAATTAATTCAATAAAATATTTTGTTCATGACCTGTCTGATCATGATTTGACTATGATTTTACCACTAATTATTAAATCAGTGACTTGATTAGTTCAATAATTGATCTGGTTTTCAATACCTTAATCCACATGGCACTTAATATCTTTTTTCCCCTTTTCATGCACAATACAACATCTCTCCAAATGTAGTCTTCTGCAGTTATTTCATATTTGACTTCAAAAGGCATAACTTTTCCTCTCTGCAATGGTAGGCTCCACAGGCAAACATCTGAGAGAATCAAGCAATGCAAATGATATGCACAACAAAACCAACAAATGCTATTGGCTAGGGCTGTGCAGAGAACCAAGCAACCTGGCAAACCTGCCCTGATTTCATGATCCTCTTTGCCTTCCTTCTGATCAACTACTTTATGATCTAGTGGTACACTTATAGAGTTGTGGGTTGATTGATCTGCGGTTTAAGTTCTCAGTGTATCTTCTATATGTTTTTCTGGGGTTCTGAGAAATAAACAGACCCAGATCCTTTGTGACTTGTATGGCTTTGTTAATAGGTCCGCTAAAAAGAAGCTGGTTTAGACTGAACCCAGCTCAATCATGTGTTGGGTTGTCCCTAGACAGGCTTGGCGTTGGTTCAAATTTCTAACATTGGTGTTAGTATGGGAGGATGGTTCTTCTCTGGTAAAGTTACATTTTCTACCTCAAAGATAATATTTCCGATATTTAAAAAACAAAAATGAAACATCATTCCAGAGTTTGATTACTGCATTATTAGAAGTGTGTATGAAGAGCATCGCTTAAAAGAGGACAATCATTTAAATTACATTCAGATTTCATGAGGGATTACTTTAATGGTTACTGGCCATGAGGACACTTTAGAAGAAAAAATAGGGGGAAAAAAGTTTAATGCTTCGTCGGTGCCTTCAAATATCATACCTAATCCAAGAGTTGGATCTTAACTTTTTAATAAACTTTTAAAAATATTCTTTATTTGTTCAAAGAGGGAAATAAATATATTTAAAGTGAAATAATAAGAGGTAATAATGTTGGAATAATTTTCATTAATAAATTATTATTTGTATGAAACATTTTACTGCCTCCGTTCAAAAATGTAAAGTATTTTTCATTGAATTTTACCCCTCAATAAAGTAATTACTTACTTTTCAACTAACTTGATCTTTTTATATTTATTTCTATTAAATACTCTATAATAAATATAAAATTATTATCAATAGAGTACTTTAAAAAAATGTAATAATTACATTTCGAAAAATTAAAATGTCTTATATTTTTTAACATTTAATTTATCAAAAAATGTCTTAAATTTTTTAATGGATGGAGTATATTATAAGACATAAAATTACTCCAAAAAATATATTATAAAATGGAGCGGACATAGTATTAATATTGAGAAAATATAAACATACAAGTGAAGAACATAAAATGACTCACAAGAATCAAAACATACGTGTATGACTTGCAAAATATGCATGCAAATCCTTCTCAAGAATAGCTTGCATATGTAAATCCATTTTTAATTTATAAATAATGGGGCTTACTATAGTTTTATATTTTATTAACTCAACTAGAAAGAACTGTATATCATTCTCTAGTATGATATAATGAAGGAAAAATAATATTAAAGTCCCAAAACAATGATTTATAACAAATAGATCCCTGCAAAAAAATTTGAAAAATTAACTGTAAATATTAATTTAAATAGTCATAAATTTAAAGGTTCTAAAATGTTGGTAAAATAAAATTATAAATAAGATATTTAAATTTTAAATGTAACTCATAGTCTGCAATTGGAATTCCTATTTGAATTAATGTCTGTAGCTTATTTTTTTTAGAAAATGTTATCTGGGACTTAACCATCATATATTTTGAGTTTTGAGACTTTATCATCATTCTCCCTGTAATGAAAGGATGATGATTTAATTTTTTTAAAAAAAAATTGTACTTGCTTTGTTAATATTTCAATCTTCTTGAGTAGCGAGAGAAAATTTAAAAAAATGAAAGAAAAATAAAGAATTTAACTATCATGAATGTGAAAAATTGAAATAATGAGGATAAAAAAGGGAAATTGCCATAAAATCCCTCCTTGAAAGGGAAATTGTTTTGAGGGGATCAAAGACCAATTTAAAGATTAAATGTATCCTAAGCCTATGACATTGTAGGCTAAACTTATGACCTTGTACCTAAAGTTTATAACCTTTACCTTGCGTACTAAATTGATCACTTTGCATCTTCTACACTAAGTTTATGACCTTACACTTTAGATCTATGATCTTATACTCGAAGTCTATAACATTGTGCACCAGGCTTGTGACCTTGCATACTATAAAAGTACAAATTTCATGAACATACAACCTATTATGCCAAAAGTGACAATCTACAAGAAAATAATAACATGAACAACATATTGTTAAAATCACAAGCATGTAAATTACATGGCATTTTCGAAAGCTAATATGTAATGTTGTTGTGCAAGGTCATAGGTTTAATGTGCAAGGTAATAAGTTTAGTGTGCAAGATCATAAGCTTGACAGGCTTGAGATACATGGTAATAGGTTTAGGATGTAGGTGATAGACTTAGTGTGAAAAATAATAGACTTGGGATGCAAGGCAATATGTTTAGCGTGCAAAGTATAAGGTAATAGGCTTAATGTGTAAGATGATATGCTTAATTCGTGTGCAAGGTGCAAGATAATAAGTTTAGGGTGCAAGATGATAGGCTTCATGTGCATTTGATCCATAAATTAATCTCAATCCCTCTAAACAATTTCCTTCCCAAAAAATAGATTTTATGGCAATTTTTCCCAAAAAAAAAATTCACAGCAATTGTGAATAATATTGTTTTTTACACATTGCTATGTATATAATGTAAAACCATAAAAGAATAACAAGCACTACCATTCATAACTTAGGCAGTGAACATTATGTTATAATTTTCAGACTCAACTAGTTTTACATTGATGATGATGATGATGATGATAAATCAATACATATAATTACTAATAAAAATCATTTTAATAAAACATAACCTAGAAGAATTTTGTAGTCTCAACTACTTTTTTTAAAAATTCATCCTCTGCCAAAAAAAATGTGTAGAAATAATTTTAAAAGCAAGAAAGACATATGGATAGTCCCCCCCCCCCCATTTAGATAAGCATAGGAGGCAAAGTTTTGAAGCCATTCAACTTAGTGTGTTTAGATTAAAAGTTGAAAAATTATAGGTAGAATAAATTGAGATTTGTAAATTGAACTTAAGCTAAAAATTAGTAAATATAACATAATTTATGTTCGAATGGCCTTTTGAATTGTACTTATAATTAAGACCAGAGCTCATACTTTTGATTTCCATGTAAATGAATGAACTTTTAGCCCAAAAGTTATTTTGATGATATTTTCATGGAAGCATCCTTTAAGCTTTTCAACTTGCTTTTAAGATTTGAATTTAAGTTTAAACCACTCAAATCTTAATTAAAATGTTATTCAAACATAACTTAGGCATACGATAATATGAGATAATGGGAAAGGGGTGAATTTCAAAGCCATCTGTATTCTCTATACTCATAAAGCTATTTCATATTTGCCATAAAAAAGTTAAATTAAATAAAAGACAAAAACAAAAGGCAAAAAGAATCCTTTTGGCGAAAAAAAGACATAAAGAATGGCGCTTGAAACTTTCTCCCCAAGAAAAGGAAGCACAAAGTCAGCTCTCCCAACATTTTTATTTTGGGCCGTCCGAGCTTTGAACATTTAGCCGCCAATTAGGACCGTTTTGAGTTTTTTGGACCACACCATTTTTATGATCTAGAAGCTTCTTCGTTTTGACCACACCATTCTCTGTTTTTTTTTTTTGACAAATGTAAAATATTTTGTAAAATAATCAATAGTATTATTTTTTAAAAAACAAATTTAATTGTGTTATAAGAAGAGAATAGAGATGATATAAGAAATAAGTTAAAGATAATTAATATATATGTATTTTAATTGGAAGGTAATATGGAAAAGTAATAATGATTTTTTTTTACTATGTTAATGATACAAACTACTTTTAATTATTTTTTTTAATTTTAAGGATGTAGATAAAAGTATTTTATATTAAAAATGGTATATTACTTGAACATAAGACATTTGTTTAGCCAAAAAACAATAAGACATATTCACTATTTATTATTTATATAAAATAATGTTTATTATAAAATTTATAATTACAATATATTGAAGATAATAATTATTATTAAAGACATTAAAAAATATCTATATATATGTGATATAAAAACTACAACAAACAACATTATATATAAATTATTATGTTAATAATATGACTTATTTAAAAAAATGTACGTGTTTGTTGTATTAAATTTAAAACAAATTAATAATGTAAGAATTATGATGTATATTCAATATTGTATTTTTTGGCCAGATTGATATGCTCTATATTGTATTAAAATGCAAGAATTATATCATATCAACCATTAATAACAATTATCTAATGTTAAGAAACAATTAGATGATGTTACAAAATTGATTGTGGGCTGTTTATTGTATTAAATTAAATTTTTAAAAAAATTATAAGTATTTATAATTATTATTTTTAAAATGTATTTTCAGACAGACAAAACAATTATTAAAAATATCTTATTCTTATTTCCGTAAAACCCTAAACCCTAACGATGCAGTTAAAGCACTCTCCGTTTCCTTCGGTCACTCCTCTTCTGAGATTTCCTCCTTCGCTTCGCTTCTTTCTCGTCAAGCTCCCTCCCTCTCCTGGTCATGGCTGCCGCATCTTTGCTGCGCTGTCTACGAAGGCGTGATGTTGCTTCTGCTTCGTTTGCCACCTATCGATCGGTATATTATTATCTCACTTGCTTTTTGTGTATTGGATCTTTGTTTTGTTGAGAGAAGCTTCTCTGTTTTCACCAGGAATAAATGTTTTTGTTGCAAATGGCTTAGGCTTCGATGATCTGATCCCTGTAGCATTTCGTACATCACTGGCTCTGTGTTACTTTCTTGAGTTTATATTATTTTTGTCCCTTTGTTTTCTTGAGCTCATCTATGGCTTTTCTGATGAGGGACTTCCCGCGAACTTTACGAAGATGAGGTTTTGTGTGGGTAACGCTAAATTCGTTTCTTTGAAATATAGATGTAGTGTTCATTGAATATTGTTTTACAGATTATTGAAGTCATGAACTATTGGATTTAACTTTTGCTGTCTATCTGTGCTTAGTCCATTTCCAATGACTTGGTTTTCCCCTCTGATTGGCAACTCTGGAATGCTCTTGTCTTCAAATGCGGATCTCTCACGATTTCCTTTGCTAGTCTATATTCACAGAATTATCTGATTTGAGGGCGTGTAAATGTATGATATTATGCTGATGCCATGGCATCATTGTCAGAATTATTTCTCATTAGTTAATTTTATAACCATATGTAATTGAGTTGCACAAGGAAGAAAAACATTTTCTTAGATGAATGTTTGTACTTTGTGCAGTTGACAGGTAGCTCTAAACCAGCACATGTAAGTCAAATTTGGACAAGTTTGTCTCGGCCATTCAGGTTTTATTTCTTCTTCTGATTTTTAAGTATTTATTGACAGTTAATTACTTTATGGTCATCGTTTTTCTAAAATTGTTTACTCATTGTATCATTTCATGTGCATTTCAGTTCAAGACCTGCTGGTAACGATGTCATTGGTATTGATTTGGGTACTACCAATTCATGTGTTGCTGTTATGGAGGGAAAAGTAAGACATTCTTCATTCATCTCTTGATTTTTTCACGGTTCATGTATTTTTTGATGTGTGGTGTTCTTCTCGACTAATATTATATATTTTGCAGAATCCCAAAGTCATTGAAAACTCTGAAGGAGCTCGTACAACACCATCTGTGGTTGCCTTCAACCAGAAAGGAGAGTTGCTTGTTGGTACTCCAGCCAAGAGGCAGGCTGTGACCAACCCAACAAACACAGTTTTTGGAACCAAGCGTTTGATAGGTAGGCGATTTGATGATGCTCAAACTCAAAAGGAGATGAAGATGGTCCCATTCAAGATTGTTAAGGCTCCAAATGGAGATGCATGGGTTGAAGTTAATGGGCAGCAGTATTCTCCTAGTCAAATTGGGGCTTTCATTCTCACCAAGATGAAGGAAACTGCAGAATCATATCTTGGAAAGTCTGTCTCAAAAGCTGTAATCACTGTACCTGCTTATTTCAATGATGCACAGAGGCAGGCAACAAAGGATGCTGGCAGAATTGCAGGGCTTGACGTGCAGAGAATTATAAATGAGCCCACAGCGGCTGCACTTTCATATGGGATGAACAACAAGGAGGGTCTGATTGCAGTTTTTGATCTTGGTGGTGGAACATTTGATGTTTCCATTTTAGAAATTTCTAATGGTGTTTTTGAGGTATCCGCATTAATTAATCTCTTCCATGTGCTCTTTTGTTAATCATTCTCTAAAGAATAATTTGGGGAATTTTTTCTTAATAATGCCATGATGTGCAGGTGAAAGCAACAAATGGTGACACTTTCTTGGGAGGAGAAGATTTTGACAACGCCCTGTTAGACTTTCTAGTGAGTGAATTTAAGAGAACTGAGAGTATTGATCTTTCAAAGGATAGACTTGCCTTGCAGAGACTCAGGGAAGCTGCTGAGAAGGCTAAAATAGAATTGTCCTCCACGTCTCAAACAGAAATAAACCTGCCTTTCATCACTGCTGATGCATCTGGTGCTAAGCATCTGAATATCACATTGACTAGATCTAAATTTGAGAGTTTGGTGAATCACTTGATTGAAAGGACGAAGGCGCCCTGTAAGAACTGCTTGAAGGATGCTAACATATCCATCAAGGATGTTGATGAGGTTCTTCTAGTTGGAGGGATGACCCGTGTGCCTAAAGTTCAAGAGGTTGTTTCTGCGATCTTTGGAAAGAGTCCTAGCAAAGGAGTTAATCCTGATGAGGCTGTTGCAATGGGAGCTGCTATCCAAGGTGGTATCCTTCGTGGAGATGTTAAGGAGTTGCTTCTCCTAGACGTGACACCACTGTCTTTGGGTATTGAAACTTTGGGTGGCATCTTCACTAGATTGATCTCAAGGAACACTACAATTCCTACCAAGAAGAGTCAGGTAATTATCAAAGCTAATTAATGTCTTCTAATGCATGAGTCGTAGAACTGTCACATTCAAAAGGGGGGTGATAATGGTAATTGCTTAAGAAAATTGTTCAAGTTGCCAAGTCTTCTAGCATGTACTATATTGTTTCAATAGTAATTAAGCCTTTCATAAAACTAAATGAAATTTCCACAAGACATTTCTTCCTCTACACTGCACGTACAAGTATTAAATGTGAGACATAGAAGCCTGCCGCAAATATGCACTGGAACTTAACTTTTTTTTTTTAATTTCTGGTAGCTGACTGCTGTAGTTTTCTAAACACCAGTTGAAATTTTTTAGGTGTGGTGGAATCTTTTTCTGATATCACTGTCTGTCTATAATATGTAACTCATCTACTATAATAAAAATTACTGATTGCTTATTCATTACCATAAATCATATGTTATTAAAAATTTATATTCCAATCTTATTGTATCTAGGCTTCTTTCTTCATCATTATCATTTGTTATAGTTTGTTCAGTCGTTAGTTGAGTTTGAGTATGCTGATTTATTTTCCTTTTGTTGCGAGTAGCTCACTTCCATTGTATGTGTGAGATTTCTGCTGTTAGTTCTCTTTCTTCTCACTGAAGGGGAGAGTATTTTTTAATGTTGCTACTCTGCATATATTTTTCCCTCTATATATTGCTTTGCTGTCTTTAGTATGTGGTTGCTTGGGTTCCATCAACTAAAGTTTCAAATTTAATTATGCCTTTCATCCACCTAAATGAAATTTCCAAGATATTTCTTCCACTGCACTGCACTTCCAAGTACTAAACGTGAGGGAAAGAATACAGATAACGGCCTTAAATGTGCACTTGAACTTGCTATTGTGTTTCTTGTAGCTAGCTGGTGTAGTAATATTTAAACATCAGTTGAAATATTTTCAAGATGTGGTCGAATCTATTCCTAACCGGCTGAGTTATTGTTACAGGTGTTCTCAACCGCAGCAGACAATCAAACACAGGTGGGTATCAAGGTTTTGCAAGGTGAGCGTGAAATGGCTGCTGACAACAAAATGCTCGGAGAATTTGAGCTCGTTGGTATCCCCCCTGCCCCAAGAGGCATGCCTCAAATTGAGGTCACATTTGACATTGATGCCAATGGGATTGTGACTGTATCTGCCAAAGACAAGGCCACTGGTAAAGAGCAACAGATCACGATTCGGTCATCTGGAGGACTCTCTGAAGATGAGATTGAGAAGATGGTCAAAGAAGCCGAGTTGCATGCCCAGAAAGATCAAGAAAGAAAGGCCTTGATTGATATCAGAAACAGTGCAGATACTACTATCTACAGCATTGAGAAGAGCTTGAATGAGTACAGAGACAAGATTCCAAGTGAAGTTGCCAAAGAGATTGAGGATGCAGTGGCAGATCTGAGGACAGCAATGTCAGGGGACAACGTGGAAGAGATTAAATCAAAGCTTGATGTTGCAAATAAGGCTGTCTCCAAGATTGGCGAACACATGTCGGGTGGTTCCAGCAGTGGTTCCTCCTCTTCCGGCGGTTCTCAGGGTGGTGATCAGGCTTCTGAGGCAGAATATGAGGAGGTCAAAAAGTGAGAGATGTAGAGTGGCTTTGGGTAGTTTCTTGTCGGCTAATTCAAACCTTTAAGGAAAAAGGATTAGGGTCTTGTTCTTCCTAAACACGCCATAGGGGATAGGGGCCATTTATACTTGAGGCGTTTCATTTGTTAAAAACTTGTTGAGCATTGAACTTGGCTCTTCTTAATGATGCTGAAATTTTGTCCTTGAATTATTTATTCATTGATAATCGACCTCTTGTCTGTATTATTTTGTTGTAGTGAAAGTTGTTTTCTTTCTTTCTTTCTTTCTTTTTGGTTAGAAAAAGTTGCAGTGAAAGATGTAACGTCTTCCACTCTTTCGCACATTTTGCTTTCAGACAAAGGTATGGAATCAAATAACAAAAAGATAAAAAGGAATGAGCTTGTTGGATTATGCACTTTACTTTCCAGAGTAACATGAAATTACGCTGATGGGCCTATTTCTATGAATTCTACATTGTATCTTCAATTTTGTATATGGAAAAATTGTAAAATAATTGCGAAGTAACATCACCAATACAATAAAATTTCAATATTAGTAAGCTAAATCAGACCGATAAAAATATTGCTCTCATAAGGGAAAAGCAAACCTTGGCTTTTGAAACATGGTGCCAGCATGTGCTAACTAGATCTTCTAGCTTCTTTTACATCTTTCGTTTGTTTGGATGGAAGTAGGGAATATAGGTTGGCTCAAATAATCTATTACAAGGGTTGAATTGAAAAAAAAAAAAATTTGACCTATAAAAAAATAAATATTTTCTAGGACAAACCAGATAACTCTTGAATCAAATACATTAACTCTCATTGGTTAGATTTAACCCATATTATTATTATTAAAAATAAAAGAAAATTGAAAGATAAAATATGGAGGAAGTTTTTGGTAGAAAACAGTCCAAGACAAGCTGCATTTGGAATGAATCACCATAAAATTGATCAATCCAATACATTAATGATGTGATTTTTTTTTTATTTCATGGAATATCATATTAAAACTTCTCATTTAAGTAATAATTTTTTAAAAAATTTATTAAAAAAACAAATAAATGAATTGGTGAATTAACTCACAAGAGTTATGTTGAATTAAGATTTTTTTAAACCTATATGAAAATGGGTTAAAATTCAACCCATATTTTTTCCAACCCATATGAGCTAACCAGATGAGTTAATCTATATTCCCAGCTTTATATAGGTAACAAAATAAAAGAAAAAAAATTGGAAAGTGAAAAAACTAGGAAAGAAAATCACAACTCTTTATTTTGTTTGAATTATTCACCTTATTCTTTATTTTAGAATTAATACTGAAATCAAATTAGCTATAAAAGGTAATTAGCAAAAACATTCTCTCCACGTTTCAAGTGTTGAACATTGATTGTCCAATCTTTATAGAACAAGATCTATGCATCTGCTATGATATCTCTGAAAGGGTGACTCTCGTTGCACCATCAGGTTAACATGTTCACCGCTCCCATGCAGTCTGAGAATAAGTTGATTTTCTTGTACCCACCATCCTAACACAGGCTCAAGCCATGTAGAAGCTTGTAATAATTTCATACTTATAGTGGAATTGTGAGTGTGTGCATCATTGCTAGCTTTTCCTTGGTATCTCAAAATTTCTAGAAGCTTGTAGTGATAGCAGAATCGTGATTTTTTTCCTGAACTACACCCTCAGGAGCCTCGTCTCTTATACTTTTCTTTGGTCCAATTGACCTCCTCAGCTTTCAAAATGAATTACCTAGTGTTCTGCCATTAAATTGTTAAACGTTGACCTTCAAATGTTCGAGTGTTGACTATTTTTGCCTTCGTGTATACCCACATCTCAGTCAATTATTCCACCTGCAAATGAGTCAATTTTTTTTTTTTAAATAGTCCCTTTCCTTCCCGCCAAACTCGACAAGCATTAGAAGCAATCTGATCACACCAATCGAACCCAGAAGAATAACTTGAATCAAATCAAAGCCTCGTTAAAAGCTAGAAACCCAGAAAAATCAAAGCCTATAACAGATGGAGCTTTTTGATTGATCTTATCTAGCTCTGATTGTCCTTAATGAAGCTTAAGAAACCCAAAAAAAATCAAAGCCTATACCAGCATGTATACCAACATCAGAGAACAAAAAGAACCACTGTCGAAAGCAAAGCCAGAAATCAAAAACCAAAAATTCACCCAGCAATTGAACCCAAAAACCCCAGCATTATATTCAATCGAATCTAAGAAGCAAACCCAAAAAAACTCACCCAGCAATCAAACCTCTAATGGTTACAATCAAATGGCGAGATAGATCCAAAAACAAAACCCACTTGAACCAATCAAACCCAAATCAAAAGCCAGAAAACTCATAAACCCAGAAAGGAAAAACGCAAAGAAACTTAGAACGCAAATCAAAAGCCAGATGTTTGGTTGATGCCCAAGTGTGGATCGCGTTTTATCGATGTCCCGATGCACATATCTCTTCAGGCTAGTGAATCATTTTAAGAAAAAAAAAAGTGAGGGACAAAACCCAAAACCTTCTTCGGCTGTCCAAGTGCAATATCGTGAAATACCAACAGATAAATAGCAACCTTCTAACCTAGATCAGGATACGACGGGAAGCGCATGACAACCAAATCCACAAACCAGCATCACAGCACCTGATAACATTGGTTTGGCCTCCTTAGTTCCTCCATCTTCCATCTTCAACATCTACATTCATCTCCAACTTCAAACCCGTTCACCGGCAAGTCCACTGACGCGAATGGTAAGGTGAAGGGGCTCTTCTCGTTCGCCTCCGCCACTGGGTCCTGGATCGGTTGCTAGATGTTGGAAGTGAAGAGGGAGAAAGGGGGAGCCAATGAGATTAGTTGTGGACCGTATCACCTTAAGGTCTCGTTTGATATGATAAAAAAATTTTTAATAATATCAAAATTGAAATTAAAATTAAAATTAAAATTAAATTGAGTTTTAAAAGTGTGTTTAATATGAAAATAGAATCATAATATAATTTTAATAACTATATGTATTTAAAATATAAAAAATTAAAATATCCTTTATTTTATTTTTTTAATGAAAAACTTAACAATAAAAAAATAAAGAATGTACTTTTAAAGCTCAAAATACTTTTTATTTTAATTTTTTTAATGACACATAAGCCAATTTCATATTGAATTGGTGGATTTCATGGTCTTTACAATGAAATTGGATTCCATCAATTTTGATAGAATCAGATTCCTTCAAGAAAGCAATTCTGATATATCAAATAAGTCAACTGAAGAATTTCATGTCTAATTTCATTTTCTTTTTCACAATTCTAATATATCAAACATGGCCTAAATTTTTTCTCAAAATTATTAATTCAATCGTAAAAGCGTCTACATGATCAATAAATTAATTTTATATTTCTTTTAAAATAATTTTATAATTTAAAATACTATCACAAAAAATGATAAAATATAATTTTATAAAATATTTTACATTTTAAAATGACTGTTAAGGTAAGAAATTGATGTGAATAAATAAGTACTATTATGATAAATGACATTTAAATTTTTTAAATTATCATTTTTAAAATTTGAGATTTCAAATAATTAAAAAATAAATAAATGTGAACAGCTCAAAAGATCTCTTTTAAAATTAAACACACGATAAACACAATATATTAGGAAAAAATAAATAGTTATGCATTTTAAAATCTTATAACCACCTATCAATCTTTCCAAATAAAACAAAATCATTTTTGATACTATTAATACACTTCTACAACTATAATAAAGTTACAGCTACCCAATATAATTTATATCAATAAATCAAATATGAAAACAGCTAACAATTGGCTTAGATTTGCACAACACAACATTGCAAGTAAATTTTTAACCTCCCATATGCCATTAGGCTAAAATCACATTTTTTCAACTCTATATTCTCAATAAGTACAAACCATAAACCAACAATCAAAATAGATAACACAAACAATTTTCAAAACAAATCAATTATATGACCCCATAATCATGTCATTTCAAACCATTCAAAATATACCAAGCATTAAGGTTGTAGTCATCTAAAGTGTACCTAAAAGTAAAAATAGCTTGAAGAGCATGATTACATCATTTCATTCATATAATTGTTAATAAACAAAAAGTCCTAGTATTAACAATATAACATATTAAAAATCATAAATCAAAAATACCCAAAAGAGACAATGAATTTAAACCACTAAGTCTCAAGGACTCCTCCACGTGCCACTCGTGGCTCCTCTTTTAAAAATTATTAACTACATAATGAGACTCAAAAGTCTCAATAACTAATGTCAATTTATAATAATATATGCAAATAGTTAAATATGTGCTTGCTAAGTGGGAAAACAACAATTGCATAATTCTAACAAAAATACAAGAGATATTGCAATATATGACAAATAACCATCCTTATCTTCCTTCATTAATTTCAAACCATAGCCCTCACTTAGTGCTAAATTACCTAGCTAAAGGTAGATTAGCCTAAGCTCTTACAAGCCACATATGAGGCCTCCAATATGAAAGTACCATGTGGCATAAAAATACTACAAAAACAACAACAACAACAACAACAAATCTTCTAACACTTCTCACAAAAGTCAACCAATTTAAATATCAACAATGCACAAATGTATAATGTCATGACCTTCAGATTTCTTGTTTCCAATAATATTATAATATAGCATCCCACTTAGCAAAAATATTTTAAAATACATATTTACAATTTTATAATTTCTCAATAAACACATTCACAAAATTTCTTATCAAACATCTCAACATATTTTTCAAGCAATCACACAAATAACAGTAAGCAACACTGATCACAAATTAAAGCATAATTATCTAGTGGCTTTTTCAATAAATTATTCTTTACAATTTCTTTTCCACCACATCCTTCACCAACAACACAATCTACACATAATATATTATTTATAAATATTAGTTTTAATTATTGAAACCAATAAAATAACTTTAATCATAGAATTAAAAAGTATAACATAATTCCTAATCTCATTATTAATACAAGTTTAGAGTTAGTACCCTCAAATAAAATTTATAAAATTTCTAACTCCTCTTTTAATAATCAATAAATATCAATAAGCTAAAATCAACCTTTAACTCATTTTCTAATATCAAAAATTTTATTTTATTTCATAAATTCGCACATAAAAATACTCAAAATTACAAACTTAGTCTCAAGCCTACAATTATCATTTTATAGCCATAATAATCTATTTTTCATCCCAAATAATTATCTAAACATCAACAAATAAACTTATATTTTTAAATTTAACAAAAATCTACCTATAGAAGTCTTTGATTTAACTCATAAACCTTAAATTCAAATCTTATCAATAAATTAATACTCTAGAATATTTATTATAATACTAACAACCTCAACAATTACATTTATTTATTATAAATCCATCTCTCTTACAAACTCTAAATTTTTTACTATTACCAAATCAAAAACTAAAGAGGATAGATGACTAAGAAATTTTTTTAGAATAGTTACATAGTCTTGAAAAACTTGAAATTATACTCAAAATATTCTATTAGAAAGCCTTACTTTCTAAATCAGCTCCCCTTATTGCCAAAGACTCGCACACTCTCACTCTATCTATTTGCACATAAAGAGGAAATGAAAAAGGGAAGGAAAAATGAAAAAATGGGAAGAGGATTGTGTTGTTTTAATTCATTGTGGGTCCCACAATATCACTCCCTCTTTCATCTTTTCTCTTTTTTTTCTATATATAACCACACACTTACACACACAACGGATATATATCCTAGAGTCGGTAATTCAAGTCGAGCCAGTAATTCAAGCCAAGCCTGATGGACCAGCTTGAACCTGCCTGAAAAAAATTAAAGTTAAATTTGGCTATATGGACTTTTTTAAAGAGTAGGATACTTTAAACCTGACACAAATAAGCCTAATTATTAGAATTTCTAGCTTTATATGTATATAGAGTTGGTAATTTTTACCAAACCCGATTGAAAAAGTTAAGGTTAAACTTGACTATATGAGCTTTTTAAAAGGGTAGGATACTTCAAGCCTAATCTAAATAAGTTCAGCCCGCCATCGGCTCTAATATATCCGTTCCCCCACCCCCTTTTCTTCTTCTTTTTTATTTGTCTATCAATCTCTCTCTTTTACATTTCTTTTTCTTCTTTCCTAATAATAATAATAATAATAATAATAATAATTTCTAAAATTTTTAATTTAAAATTATATCTCAAATTAGATCTAATAATTATCTTCTACTAATTTATTTACCTCTAGATATTCTTTAAAAATTTTATTAACCCAAATTAACTATTAAAATTTAAATTGGGATGTTACATAGATGGAGAGAGAGGGGTTGAGATGAATTTGATAACTGGGGGAGAGATAGTGAGATGCTAAGATGGAAGCACATGGCTGCTAATTTATCAAATTTTTAGGCTACTTGCTCATTCAACGTTCGTTAACATGAATTAAAGGGTAGGATACTAGGTGATTTATTTTTGAAAGTTTAAGGATTCAATTAAATCAAAGAAAAATATATGACATTAGGTGCTTTTGAGGGTGTAGTTCATGGGCAAAAAATGAATTTTAAGCCTATAAACAATCTTAAGCTATAGTATGGTATACAAGAATAGCAATATTCAAGCTCTATGTCAAACACAATTGATGTTGCAATATGGATATATCAAACCAAACACTAGCAAAAAACTTAAAAGCTTATCTATTGTTTCTGATAACATAATGAAATAAGAAAAATAAAATAAAATGTAATTATGTGGGGGAGAACTAATGTCACTTACTATCACTACCACCATCATCACTACTGTCACTACTGCTACTGCTGCTGCTAAAGATAGCATAGATATCATAGTTGATGTGAGGTAACATGAGGTGGTGTTAATATAATGAAATTGATGCCAATTTGGCACATTTTCCTATACTATCATTAACTAATTGGTTCAATTGTGAATATTTTGGGTTTAAATATAGAAAAAGGGGTTATAGTTGAAGTTAACCTTGATAATAGAATTTGTTAACAATTTTTGTAAAGAATCTTGCCTTGTTTAAACTTTTAAAGATCTCATAGTTGTATCTATTATTTCAAGTGACTTTTATTGGGTAGTTGTAACGATAAAGAGTCAGATGATGTTTGGAGATGCATTTAGAAACATAAAGGCAATAAAAATTGAGCCACAAATGAAAATTGAGGGCTTTGTGCCATGTGCTACGGTACATGCATGCCGTGTCGTCACATAGGGCACAAAGAAGGACTTTTAGGAATTGCACAAGCACCGCGACTTATGGACACCATGCCACGGCACAATGACAACATGCCGCAATGCATGGCTTGAATTATGCTGTGCATTTTAAGCTGTAGAATGCAAACTAAGGTTAGATAAGCCAATTTCCATGCCTCCAGAACGACACACAAATTCTAAAGGTTCTCTAAAGTTTGCTTTGTTAGGGTTTAGGGTTCTTTAAGGAGATTTGACTAAGGATTGAAGATTTAAAGAGATTTAAGTGAATTTCTTTTATTTTATTTTTTTACTTCCCTTCCCTTTTTTCTTTGTGTTTCTGACATGAATGTTGAATAAATCATTGTTTGTTGCTCTTTTTTGAACAAGAGTAACTAGTTTTCTTGTTCTAAGATTATTTTGAACGTTTGTATGAATTAAGACTTGATTATTCCTCTCTTTTGATGGTTATTAATATATATATTTATTTTATCTTATACTTAATGCTTTTAAGTGCTTGATTACCATTTAAATTATTTTGTTCACTTGGATTGTATTTGAGAAAGCTAATTTAGGTGTAGAACTTTGATAGAATAGTATTGGATTTGAAATTTACAAA